CATTTGTTCTGATCCCCAAAGGCCATGGTACAGATACTTGTTTTGGAATATGAATCGTGCGCTCCATTTTCATCTTTTGGTTCAAAAGATCTTGAAGAAAATGTAAAGGGGAAAAATGAAACATCAACAAAACTAGTTCTGTAAAAAATACACTATAAGTTTGAAATTTTGATGAATAATATTCAATTCCCTGCATCCAGAATGCAGAGTTTCAGTCCTTCATATGTAACTAACCACTGTGTTACATTGCTAACAACACTGAAACAGTTTTTGCTTAGAAATCGTAGTTAAAAAATAGAGTTGACTAACCATTGTTTTACGTTGCTAACTGACCACTGTTTCAGTCCTTCACATTTAATTAATTTTGTAATTCAAGGATTAGGAATTTAGTTTATTTTGTTAAATTTGTGCATGTTAGGTTTAATTTGTTAATTTGTTAATTTGTTAATATGTTAATTTACGACTTTGACAGAAAAATGGGTAGGAATGGTTGGAGGAAAGAATAGGTGTGTGCTAGACAGAGGCTAGGAAATATTTGGACTATAATCAACAGAAAGGTTGGAGGAAGGAATGGGTGTGTGCTAGACCGAGGCGAGAAACGTTAATGGAGGAGAAAGAGACTTGGCAGTGTGATTTGGGGGTTTGACAGAAAATGAGGAAGAAGCGTGTTTGGATCGGAGGTCTCTGTGAAGCGGCAATAGGTGTGAGTAATGGGGTTTGCCCCGGGGGAAGGGGTAGGGAATATTGGGCCATAGATATGGAATTCGATGAAAATATAGGGTGGGGATCTTGGAAAGAGATCGGGGTGGCAAACTTGGGGATAGTAGGAAGATATATTATGAAAGGGTTGTCATTATTTTAAGGACATGCATGGTTTGAAAGAGATGATGAATGTCCAGGTTTTGCATTTTCTTTCATTTTTCCATTTATTTAAAGATATATAGAGTTATTTAAAAGAAAATATATTAGGGTTATTTTGGGAATAATAGTGGGCGGGAAAATAATATTTTACTTTTTTAGCTTTTTATGGTGGGTGAGATTATCATGTGGATGGAAATATAGGACACTGGGGGAGGGTCTAGTAGCACTCTTTGTCAAATTAGTTAAATTTGTTCATTTTAAAATCCTAGGTTTAGGAATTTAGTTTATTTTATAATTTTAGGATTAATATTTTAGTGTTGGGGTTAAGTTTAATTATTTAGAGTTAATTTTCTATTTTTAGGATTAATATATTACTTTTAGGGTTTATTTTATATTTTTAGGATTATGATATTACGTTTAGGATTAATTTTATAAGTTTTGGATTATGTATTACTTATTGAGAAATTTGGAAAAATAGCCAAAATTTAGACTATGAATTGAATTTTAACCAACTATTATTATTTGTTATAATCCTAACCAAAATTTGACATGAAAGTACTACAATATCCTTTTTAAACTAAATTAATTACAAAAATTTATGGATCTCGATGAGTAAAACCTCCAATCGTATGGATCTCGATGGGTAGGTGCAAATGTATGGATCTCGATGACTAAAACCTCCAATCATCTATGATGATGTGTGAGCCGCCCCAAGCCTATAACTATGTTCTAGTCATTTGCTGCTCCCACCCAGTCTAACCGCCAGCCTATGATTGTTCTAGACTAAAGCCATGAATAGATAGAAAAGATATAGGTTTGCAAATATTTTAGTTAATAAAGGGTATTGTAGTATTTTCATATCAAGTTTTGGTTAGATTTATAATAATTTGTAATAGTTGACTAGAGTTCTATTTCTGATCTAAATTTTGGCTATTTTTCTAAATTTCCCTTACTTATTAGGATTAATTTTTTTAATTGTACGGATCCAATTTTAGTATTAAGGTAATTTTGTAAATTTTAGAATTAGGGCGAGAAGCTTCTCTTTGCCGCCAAAATCAGCAACTCTCTGGTGGATCTCAATTCGACCCTCCTTCAATAATTCAAAGCGGCATTGCAAAATCCAACCGAATTTTCAAGCAATAGTTTGGCGATTGTGGCGAAAATCCTGAGCCTTTCTGACAAATTTGAACTTTCTAGTTCACCAGAGGCTGCTTAGGGTCGGAGGATCCGAGATGGGTTTTTGGGGTTGGGTTAGTCCGAGGTATAGGAGGCTACTGCATGTCAACAATGCCACGGCCACCATATAGTGGTGGCGACTGGCGAATGACGGGACCGAAGATGTGAAGACGATTCAGGAGGCGATGGATGGGGTGTCGAAGAAGAGAATCTGTTGATGGAGAAGATGAAGTGATTTTTAGATTTTTTTTATTTAATATTATTTTTGAAATTAACTTTTTAATATTTAGTTAATTTTATTTGCAACATCATCACACAAATTTTGGCCATAATGTGTCACGTCATCATTTAGCGGTAAACTTAACGGATCATTTAACGGATGTATGGTATTGAAATAAAGTGTAAGTAAATGTATGAGATTGAAATGTTTTAAAAATGTTATATGAGGTTGCAATTACACTCAAACCTAAGGGGGTGAACTGTAATTTATCATATATATATATTAAATTAGTTGTGCTCATTGTGTATAAATGATATTATTGTATTAAAAATCAATTAATATAGAAAATTATTTGTGCGAGCCTCATGGAATTCAGATTGTCTCTAGATCTCGCAATTTGGAGCCGCAAACTGAGAATTTCGGACTTCAAAAAAGGTATTCAGAGATCCAGACTCTTCATTTATATGAAGTGGGTTATTTAAGTTGATATAATTGATAATGAATGGTATAGATCTTCGATTCCGTGGGCTCCAGGCACAGGAATCCAAAAAATATCTTGATTCTATCCCATGAGCCTAATGACATGTTTACGTAAGGGAATGTAATAGAGGAATGGAAATTACACACATTTCAAGTGATTTAAGAGTTTACCAAGTTACTTAGTACTATGGTCTAGTGATATTCCTCTTCACTGGTAAGTGAGAGGTCTTAGGTTCGATTCTCACCAAAGACGAGTTTGAACCACATTATTGATATGATACCCTGTCCTTAATTTTTCATATTTTATATTATCAAACATATGAAATTACCAAATTGCCCTTGTGGCATAAATGTTGACTTTCGTTGACCGTCTCAACACAACGCTTGTGACTAATTTTTTTTATTTTATTCTTATCGTACTCATCGCCATGAACACGTGGCATGAACATATTCGAATTTGGAGCTATAACGAAGTTTTTACAAATTGCGAGACGTCGAACGTTTTTTCGGATATTTTATGTTTTGTCTTTAGTGACCTTATTTGTGAGCCATTGGAACCCATAAATTATCCTTGTTCCTTGCTTTTTCCCCTATTCCCTGAGACATCTCCCCTCCCTTTTTTGCTTTCTGTCACTCATCTTTTTCCCTTTAAACTCTCTGGTTTCTCTCTCTAAGCTCTCTCTTGGTTCTTTCTATCTCAGCCCTCCTTGATGGCACCACACACAACACAATAACGACATAAACCCCCCCCCCCACCACCACCCAACAACTCTAGTTTTGAACCCAGAATCGAACAAGAACCACCCCAAACTCCTCCTTCATCACTACACAGTGCACCGTCATTGTTCACAAAACTCTTCAGCTAGTTTCCACCTACACCAGCGATGGAAACTCAAGGGGAAAGCTTTCCCGGTTTTCCGACGATGACCACCACTTTTAGGCCTTTTTTCGACCAACTCAGGCCATCATTCGGTCCCAACTTAGTGTGTCGTTTGAGATGACCCCGTCCTCCCTATTGTTGAACGGCACGTTGGTAACAAAGTATCTGTGAGTGGACCCCTTCCAAAATGCATGATTTAATTACTAGAAATACATACATGAAAAGCATGATTTTATGACTACGTTTTATGAAACATTTATGAGTTATTGGATTTACACTTTATGAAATGTCATGCTTTATCGAATTTATATTTACCGATATATTTTCGAATCTGATTTATGATATGATGTTTGAGCTATTGAGCTCTGATGAGTTCTATTTTGGAAAGATTATGTTTATGATTTTATGTGCTTACTTAGTGGATATTCATTTATATATGTCTTCGAGAGGGCGATGTAGTGCCTTCGGGCGGAAGATATATATTTTGGAAAGATTATGTTTATGATTTTATGTGCTTACGTAGTGGATATTCATTTATATGTCTTCGGGCGGGCGATATAGTGCCTTCGAGCATAAGATATATATGCCTTCAGGCAGGCGATGTAGTGCCTTCGGGAGAAAGATATATATGCCTTCGGGCGGGCGATGTATATGCATTCCCATATCAATGAATTTGTGTCCTCATCTCTACGTAGGACATCTCTTGTAATTGCACTTTCTATTATTCCTTCGGCTTGTATTTCGAATTAATAGTATGCTATGAACATATCATGCATTATCACTTTTAAATTGTTGGCAATTGAGTTTTATATTTGGTTAAGGTTTGTACTTGAATATTATATTGCTTGGTTACGCGCAAAAATTATATGCATGTTTCACATGTTCTTGGTATATGCATTCATTAAATGGCTTGCATCATTCTTGAGTGTCGGCCAACACGTGATCATCTCATTATCCTTCGAACACCAAGATTGAAGCATGTCAATTGCAAGTCCATTATGAGGCCCACCTCCTTCCCACCTAAATGAAGAATCAAAATTCTTAAACTTGGGGAATCAGATTCTTGATATTAAGGTGGTATTCAGATTCCTCGTAAATGAAGCCCATCAGAAATTCAACTTTTGTACCAATATTACCCCCATTATTTTTTGCTAATTTCAAAACACTCCTTGCAGATTTACCTAGCCCAACTCCAACGGACAGCCTAAAACACCACTGTAAATAAATAAGAAGTTCATAATGTGTTTTCGTATTCCGTTTTATTTGCAAGTGATATTTTTGGTGATAATCAAATCATGTGATTGGTAGCACATTATGATATTATTAGCTTACTCTTTTACAGTACATAATATCGTTTGAAAAAAGAGAAAAAGTTTTATCTTTCTGTCTTTACCTACATACAGCTGCAGTCACCATGTCTCTCTTTCTCCTGATCACTCTCTCTCTCACTCACACTAATCCTTCCTCCAAGAGGAAAGCGAATTCATAACACCGACATCAAAAAGCCGACGACATTCAAACAAACAAGCCCAGAAATGTGGCCGCCAGCTCTCCCCCTGGTCCTCCTCCTCCCACTCGCGCTCGCCTCCACCGCCCTCACCCACTCCCACTCCTCCTCCTTCTTCCCCACCGCCTCACCCTCACTCTACGACTGGAGCTCCGCGCGCGCCACCTACTACGCCGCCTCAGACCCCCGCGACAAGGTCGGCGGCGCGTGCGGCTACGGAGACCTCGAGAAGGCCGGGTACGGGCTGGCGACGGTGGGGCTGAGCGAGGCGCTGTTCGAGCGGGGCCAGATCTGCGGCGCATGCTTCCAGGTCCGGTGCGTGGAGGACACGCGGTGGTGCATTTCGGGGACGTCGATCATCGTGACGGCGACCAACTTCTGCGCGCCGAATTACGGGCTCAGGCCGGAGGGTGGGGGCCACTGCAACTCTCCGAACAAGCACTTGGTGTTGCCCATCGAGGCCTTTGAGAAGATCGCTGTTTGGAAGGCTGGCAATACGGCCGTCGAGTATCGCAGGTTGGTCCTTCTGCTTTCAAGCTTGGGCGTCGATTTTTGTTGCCGTCTACTTTACTCTTTCGTATCTTTCTATTTTTTTCCTTTTTTTCTCTGTTGTCAAAATAGAATGCTTTTGGTGTCTTAAATGTGAATTATAATTGAAAATCATGTTTGAAAATTACAATTGAAAATGGTGCATTTGATTCAACACCAAGTTGTTGGCGCTTAAAAATCTATTTAAAACTATTGAAAATGGTAACCACCACCATGGGGTGATTCAGTTGTTGGCGCTTAAAAAATTTAATTAAAACTATTGAAAATGGTAACCACCACGGGGTGGTTTCAGTTGTTGGGACGAATTTCAAGCTGGTATTTCACACGGCACGTCTGGGTTTGTTTCTTGGCTTTGGTGAATCACACGATGGCGGCCAAAGGAGGCTGAAACGCCTCTGTGAGTCTTCTTGGTCTTGGAATGACAAATGCCGTGGTGAATCCGCCAGTTGGTCCTCTTCTTAGAGAAAAAAGAAAACGATTGAAA